GGCCGTTCAAGATCAAGATATAGTGAAATGGCTGAATCCTTTGAAGCCGAACACAAGAAATCCAGATTAGTACTTTCACTTTCATCGTAGTCATGGTCACTCTACCAAAGTTTGTAAGCAACTCAAGAATGAGATTGAAAAACTTATCCGTCATGACTATCTTCGATAATTTATTCGAGATCCCCCTACCCGAAAGAAAGCTCATCCCACTGGGGGGAAAATCAACAACAAAGATAATCATTGAATAATATTCAAATGGTTGGAGAGATTAAATGGTCACTCACTTTATGCATTTGTATTAACAATACTACTTGTCTTGTCTAATCGTGTTTCTTTTATGTTAAAAAGGATGTCACTTTGATATCATAATATTTTCTTCAAAGTTAACCATTGTATTATTCCTGTACGTATATCTTATGTGTTGAGTCATTATAACTTGTATATTCCTAAGTCATACCATGGAACTATTGTACTGTCTTATATAATATAGTAATATGATGTTCACGTTATTGTGATATTATTTTCTCATATAAAAGATAAAAGAAACTTCTCAAACTCTTTTTCCGTGATTCGAAAAATACATAATCTACATTATATCTCAATCACCGGATGACCCAGGGGGATTTGATCCGACCTCTTCTAAACAGGTTTTTAACGTCATCGAGTAGGGCTCTGATATACAACCTCGGACATGTCTTACATCTTTGGTGTATTCTCTTGACCTCTTCCACACAGGTTAATGTCATTGAGTAGGGCTCTGACATATAACCTTGGATAGGTATTACAACCTTAGTGGATTCTCCTGACCTCTTCGTCACAGGTTAAAATCATCGAGCAAAGGCTCTGACATATTACCTCGGATAGATCTTACATCATTGGTGGATTCTCTCGACCTCTTCCATACATGTTAACATCATCGAGCAGGGCTCTAACATACAACCTTGGATAGGTATTACATCCTTGTTGGATTCTCCTGACCACTTCCACACAGGTTAACGTCATCGAGCAGGGCTCTGACATACAACCTCAGATAGGTCTTACATCCTTAGTGGATTCTCATAACTTCTTTCATATAGGTTAACGTTACCGAGCAAAGGCTCTGACATATAACTTCGAATAGGTCTTACATCCTTGGTGGATTCTCTCGACCTCTTCCATACATGTTAACGTCATCGAGTAGGGCTCTAACATACAATCTCGGATACGTCTTACATCATTGTTGGATTCTCCTGATATCTTTCACACAGATTAACGTCATTGAGTAAATGCTCTGATATACAACCTCAGATAGGTCTTACATCATTTGGTGGATTCTCTCGACCTCTAAGAGGCTAAAAAATCTCAAAGAACACGGAAGATACGTTTATCAAAACATATCTCAAATAGGCATAAACAACTTAGTTTTCTTTGGAGGACAAATTCATTTCAAATGAAAAACAAGCACCAAGCTCATACAATAATCTCGCTCATACAATAAACTCAACTTCATATATAATATTATCTGAGTTATATTGAAAAATTGTACATCAAGTTCAAGTGTACATTTACTCTCACTAGAAGTTGAAAGCAAAAAATACATTTATGTCATTCATACAAAGATATATAATGACATCACACTTTCATATGGATGCATATTGCCTTCATAAAATGGCACTAAACACCCATCATCATCGACCCTTTGACTAGTGTATGCTGGTGGCATTTACTTCAACATATCCTCCAACTCTCTCCTTTAGCTCTACACTCGACTGCTGACTGCCCACGAACTTCTTCTCAAATATAATCAAAATTCTCCCCCATCTACTCACCACTTCTGGTAATCCTTCCGCCGCAGGACTTCTACACGTCGCGGGATTTTTGTCGGAATTCCACCCGACGCTAAGCTTCCTCTCGTCGCAGAACTTCTGTACGTCGCGGGACTTTCGTCGAAATTCTACCCGATGCTGAGCTTCCTCCCATCGCAGGACTTCTACATGTTTCAGGACTTTCATCAGAATTCCACCTGACGCTGAGATTCCTCCCGTCACAGGATCGACTTATGTACATCGCGGGACTTTCATCAGAATTCTACCCGACATTGAGCTTCCTCCCGTCGCTGGACTTCTACCCGTCTTGGAACTTTCATCGGACTTCTAACCGTCAGTTTTTTCCCGCCGTAGGATCTTGAAGAAGGAGATGGAAGAAAAGAAGTGGATGCAAAAAGTCCAACTTCTACACAAAGAGAGAGGCCCTGAATTTGGGTAGGAGATGCCACCTACCAAAATAGGGGAATGTCCCAACTGTAAGAATGTTAGAACGTGGGAGGAGAAAGAAAATGAACGATTGCAAATAATGCTAACTTCTATACGAGGAGAGGGGCACAAATTTTATGTAGGGAAAGTCACATACAAAAAATAATGGAATGCCTCCCCTATTAGAAAATTAGAACACATGAGGAGAAAGAAAAGAAACGACTGTAAATATTCCAACATCTACACACGGAGAGGGGCACTAATTTTGCGTAGGGAAAGTCACCTACGAAAAATAGTAGAATGCCTCCCCTGTTAGAAAGTTAGAATGCGGGAAGAGTAAGAAAATGAACTGCTGCAAAAAGTCTAACTTCTGCACAAGAGGAGGTGCGCCGATTTTAGTAAAGAAAGTCACCTGCGAAAAATAACGGAATGCCTCGACTGTAAGAAGATTGACAAAGAATAAGACATTGAAAGGAGAAAAAAAAATTTCTACACTAAAGAGGGGGGCCGATTTAAATAGGGAAAGTCACCAACGAAAAACAGCGAAAAATCTCTAGAGCAAGAAGATAAATGAGGGTAAGAAGGGAAGAATAACGCTGAAATTCTGCCCGACGCTCAAGTGATGCTAGAGTTCTGCCCGACGCCAGAATTCTGCTCAATCTCCAAGTGACGCCGGAACTCTGCCCGACGTTGTAATTGGATCTCAATCCAGAAGTGAAGCATTGTAAACTGATCGTCCTAAATTTTAAGGACGAATCAGCCTCTTGTACTTCAAACAAATACTAGTGGAATTATTTCAACTGAGCGTGGCCCCGTGGTTTTTTCCCTTTTCAGAGTTTTCCACTTAAAAATCATGGTGTTATTTCTCTCCTGTTTGTGTGCTAGATATCCGTATAACGCTAAGACGGAAATTTTCTAACTCTATCGCCGTGAATATTCTAGTTCGTAATATATATATATATCTGCAAAATTTAAAATTATTTGAATGTGATCGAACGGATCATATTTACTATTATTGTACTTTGTACGTTAAAGCATGATAATGATATTTTATGCATTCCAAACCAATAAAATTAGAAATTTATTAGCAATAAACGCAATAGAAAGTGGCGTTAATACTGATAATATTTTTATTAGAGATAAGCTACGTTTTTACCAAAAATCTCATCAGAAGAGTTGGATGACCTCACACCTTAAGAAGATAAATATTTACCAATCAGAAATAAAAATAATTATAGGTTTTAGTCAATTTGGTTTTGTAAAATTTTAAATTTTATTATTAATATATTGAAATTAAATTTCATGAATATTATATTTGTTGTTTTTTATTTAACATTCAAAATTTTTTAAAGTTTATTAATCTAATTAATATTTTAATTAATTGATAACATATAAAATGTTTATATATGTAAATGAATATTTAATTGTGATTAAAGAATCATTACTGCTGTTGGTGTACTTTGTCCGTTAAAACGTGATAATGATATTTTTTATTAATTACGTAACAGTGAAATTCGAAATGATATGTAAAAAATTGAATTGAGAAGCTCACATCATATCGTACTTGGTGCAATATAAAATGATATAAATTTAAAAATAAAATATTTATAAAAAAAAAAACTATGAAATCAAGAGGCCTAGTGTAAATTTTTTTGTTGACGATGCAATTAATATTTTAAGTTAACGGGTATTGATGTAGCCAGATAACATCATCAAAGTGTTATTATTGAGTGATGGTGATAAGAGAATTGTAGTTGAATGATTGTTTAGGAAAGGAATGGTAAAAGGATTATAGTCTAAAAATGGTGGTAAGATAACAATTGTCTAACAATGATGGTTAGAGGGCCGTAATTAGACAGTGGTGGGTAGAAGACCGTAGTCATGTAACAATTATTGTTAGATGGTCATGGTTAAGTGATGATGGCAAGAGGGTCGTAGTAGAATGATGATATTTTGAGTACTATAGTTAAGTGATGGCGGCCTATAGATTGTATTCTAGTGATGATAACTTGAAGATTATAGTCAACCGATGATAATAAAAAGATCGTAGTTAGACAATGACAATCAGAGGACCATAGTTAACTTGTAATGGTCAGAGGGTTGTAATCAATAAACGATAATCAAATGATCATAGGAGTGCGAGGTGGTTGGAGGGTCATAGCCGAGCAACAGTGATTAGAGGATTAGAGATTGGTGATGACAGTTAGAGAACCATAGTTGATTAATAGTGATTAGGAGACTGAAGATGAATGATTGTGATAGAAGGATTGTAGTTTGTTGACATTGATCCAAGGATTATTGTTGATGGTTAGACGATAGTGGTTAAGCCATAGTGATCGTTTTGATGAAGATGGTGAGGCGGTGGTCCTGCAACACATAAAGCTTCATTAATGTTTTGAAGGTTGACTTGTGACATCTCATTAGATAACAAATTAATTAATATAAAAAAAAATCAAGTTATATACTTTATAACTTATTGTTCTCTAATATTTTTATCATTTTACGAAGTTTAAACTGGAAATTATTCCATAAACTTGCTTCAACAAATTAAAACAAAATCTATATATGATGAAACTCTCATGTTTTACATACATTGTCTTAAACCCATCAAAAGAATGCAAGAGAGCATCCAATGATGCCATATAAAGACACGAAGAAGGGAGAAAGCCACCTAAAACTTTATCTTCTCTTAGCTTTTTATTCTGAATATTCTATACTTGAAGCCCTTTCATTATAATGACCCCCATGACTTGGACTACCTCCTAATACTGACTTTGACAACCATTCACTTCCCTCTATATACACAGCTTGTTAGCATCCTCTCTTCACAACCATAACCCCTATCTTCCCTTCTTCTCCTCTCTCTCTCTCTCTCTCTCTCTCTCCCCCAAACTCTACAATGTTCAAACTAATAGGCAGGAATTGTGAGAGAGAACAAATTAGAAGAATCATCATACTTCTTCTTCTATCAACAGCTTTATCCCTCACTGCTTCGAACACCCACCCAAACACCAAAAACCAAATCCATACTGTTTCTAAAGGACTCAACTTCTTCAAAACTACCATCACCACACCATCCTCCTCCAATGCAGCCATAGCCTCAGCCTGCAAATCCACTCTCTACCCCGACGCCTGCCACTCGGCGCTTGCCGGAGCATCACCGAAGTCTTCTTTGAAAGACCTCTTCGTCGGCTCCGTCGAATCGGCGAGGCTCCGCGCCACCTCGGCTCGTGCTGCCGCCTACAACCTCTCTCCTGCCCATGGTGCCATCGACGACTGCCTCGAGCTCCTCGACATAAGCCTCGAGCAGCTCGATGACGTCATCAACGCTGCAGCTAAAAAGAGCAAGTCAAGCGCTCATGACATCCAGACGTGGCTCAGCGCCGCGCTGACCAACCAAGTCACCTGCTCCGACGGGATCGGCGCCACGGGCATTGATCCTAATCGGAAGAAAGACATGATGGCGCAAGTCAATGTGTTGTCTCAGCACATAAGCAATGCTCTTGCGCTCCACGCATCGATGACGGGGAGTGGTGGCGGCCGCGAGCGGCGGCTGTCGGACGAAAAGTTTCCGGGGTGGCTGTCGTCTAGTGATAGGAAGCTTCTGCAAGCTTCGCCGGCGGATATTCAGGCTGTGGCGGTGGTTGCGAAGGACGGGAGTGGTACGCACAGTACTATCAATGAGGCGATCGCGTTTGTCTCGTTGAAATCCAACGGCGGCGGGGGAGGGCGGAGCGTGATCTATGTGAAGGCGGGAACATACAGAGAGTACATCAGGATTCCCACAAAGCAGAAGAACGTTATGCTGATGGGCGACGGGAAGGGGCAATCCATCGTTATAGGTAGCCGGAATGCTGAAGATGGTTCGAGCACGTACCAGTCCGCCACTGTCGGTAAATTAATTAAGCTCGTTTTATTTGCTGTAATTAATTAAGTAGTTTAACATAAATTTATTAATTAGGGAAATTATTAATTTTTAATTTTATATCAACTATATTTAATTAGTTAGCTACTACTTGCGCGTCCAACAACCATCATTATATATTTTTATTATGCATGTGCATGGAGGACGTTGATGTGAAATGGCATATCTAAATAGATAAGATTTACTAAAAAAATCTTGAGTTAATTTAAAATTAGAAATAGGAATTTTGATCAGGCTTGTTTGGGACTGCTATAGTTTTTTATAAAGTTAATTATAAAATTATTATAAGGAGAGTAACTTAATTCTTTTCATTAAAAAAATAATTTTTTATCATAAATTTTTTAAAAAAATTATGAAAAAATAGTAATCAGACAAAATTACAGCTGATGTATGAAAAGTAAAGTAGCTAGAAATCAGTTCTAACAGATCCTAATGCTGAAGTCAATAATGATTTAGTTATAAGTCAAATTTGAATTTATTTAAGTAAAATCTATTAATTTTATAAATGTTTTTAACCACTTATCAAAATTATTATTTATTTAAAAGTATTCAAACTTTGTTTATAAAAGTCAAGTATTTGTTTTGTTCCAAGCTAATTAGGATATCTCCGATCAAAAATCCCATTTTTCACTTAAAAACATAATAAAACTAAAAAATGTCGTGATGCAGAGGTAATCATCTTTCTCCTCTTTCGCGTGTTTCATCGACAAATCTTGTTGAGATAGAAAAATAGCATAGGTGAATCTTACAACGCTAATGTTAGTGTCGCACTATTCACCCTCCACATATTGGCAATTTTTTTGTGATTCGAATGGAACAAACCTGCTACTCGCTACAGTCCTTTGGAGTTCCGCTGAAGATCCCTTAGATCTTTATGCAACTTCAAAAATTTTCTTTCAATGAATGCGATGAATGATTCTATGGTATATTTTTTATCGATAAATTAAATGAATCTAATTTTGTATAATATTTTATTTGGATATCTAATTACCAGCGGCAATGGGCGCCGGCTTCATCGCTAAAGGCATAACCATCATCAACGACTCCGGTCCGGACAAACAACAGGCCGTCGCCCTCCGGGTCGGCGCCGACCAAGCCGTCATATACCAATGCGCAATCCAAGGCTACCAAGACAGCCTCTACACCTACGCCAACCGCCAATTCTACCGCGACTGCGATATCTCCGGCACCGTCGACTTCATCTTCGGCAACTCCGCCGCCGTCTTCCAGAACTGCTTCATCCAACCCCGGAAACCCGCCGGCGGCCAAAGGAATTCCATCACCGCACAGGGCCGAACGGACCCGAACCAAAACACCGGCATCTCTATTCAAGGTTGTCGGATCAGCGGCTCGACCGGCGGCGCGCCGACATATCTCGGCCGACCTTGGAAACAGTACTCTCGGGTCGTCTTCATGGAGAGCGAGATCGATGGGTCGGTTAGCTCGGCCGGCTGGGAGCAGTGGTCGGGTAATTTCGCTCTTAAAACGCTCTATTATGGTGAGTACGCGAACACGGGAGCCGGGGCGGGGACTTCCGGTCGGGTCAAGTGGCCCGGAGTGCACTCCGATCTGTCGGCGTCGGAGGCTTCTAAGTTCACCGTCGCGAATTTTATCTCAGGAACTTCATGGATTCCTGGAACAGGAGCTCAATTCAATGCCGGTCTCTAGTCAATGGGAAAGTATTCAATCAGAATAATATCACCTTAGTATATTCGAACTGAAAATATATACTATAAAATAGTATATAGTTCTCATTATACCCTATACTAAATATATCTATATTATTATAATAACCATAATAACATATTCCTGTTTTTATGATTTAATATATGTTTATTAAATTTATTATTAAGATTGAATGTAATTATATTCATCTTAAATAATTTAATATCATATATTTATCATAATTAAAATTTTAATCAGAATATTGATGCATTTAAAGTTTTTTTTTTGATATACTGAATTTGCATGGCCTGTGAAGCCTAATTTTTGTTGAGTGAATTTTATTTCTTATTAATGTTAAAATGTAGCTTGGAATATATTATTTTAGGTTGGGGGCTGGTATAAACATAATTTGCACAATTGCAAGTGTAAGATTTAGAATGCAATGTAATCCAATAACACTTGCTTATAAGTGCTGTTTGTACATGGACTAGATAATATTCTGATCACTTTGCAAAATGCAAAAATCCTTTGAAAATTCTGTGCGTGGATTCCAGCTAATGGTGTGTTTTATGTAAATTTCTATTTTTTAAGGCAAGAAGGTTTGTGATGTTTGTGTAAATTTATTATTTGCATATTTTTACGTTATGTATATATTTGTAATGAAATAGTCAATATATGATGTGCATGTAATTATTGGATTTTAGTGCTTGGTAGGGGCATCGATGATTTTAATTATTTTTAAAATATGGTGGCTCTTATCAAGCCACTGTTCTAACTAATTAAATAGTGTTTTTTATATTTTATAATTTAGCAATAATAATTATTTTCATCGAGGGTTAATTTGTTAATTAAAATTTTGATAATAACTACTATTTTAAAGTATAGTTAGAAAGTTAAAATATTAACTAATATTTAGATATATTGAATAGAAAAATAATGTTAATTAATATAAGATAATAAGTTTTAAGTGACGAATAGTAGTTATTAAGATTGAATTTAGACATATTAAATAATGTCAACTCAAGAACAAGCTACATCACATTAATTACCATAATAGATCAAAACATGTTGCAATATTATTCTGCCATCACTGCATATATAGCTATTATTAGAACAACTTTAGATACTAGTGAAATCCACGTGTGTTAGGGGTGTAAGTGAGCCTGAAGCTCGACTTATTTATAGGCTCGCGAGCCGAGTTTATCGAGCTCGAGTTTGAACTCAAGCTTGTTTAGTAAACGAGCTCGAGTCCAAGCTTGATGAGGCTTGGCTCGTGAGCTCGTGAACCGGCTTGAATAATTTTTAATATTTTTTAAATATTTTTATTTTATTTATTAAATTTAAATATTTAAAAAGTAATAATAATAAATTATTAAAATATTTAATAACATAAAAATAAATTAATATTTAATGTTTAAAATATTTAATAAAAATTTTAATATTTAAATATTTAACAATTTAAATAATTAATAATATTAAAAAAATCCTGCCGAGGCTCGCGAGCCGGCTCAAGCTCATTTATAGTGGTACGAGCTCGAGTTCAAGCTCTGATTTTGAGCTCGACTCGATTTGACAGTTGAGCTCCACTTGAACACTCACTGACTCGAGCTCTACTCGACTCTTTTGCGCCCCTAACGTGCATTATGTGCACGTGAATAAAATTTAAAAATAAAAAGTATATTCTAAAGTTACCATTAATTTACGACATACTATATAAATGATATTTAATAATTTACGAATATTATATGAAATATTTACATATTTACATATTACTTATATGTAATTTGTAAATAAAATTGTTTCTATGTTAAATAAAATTGTTGAAGATCACTAAGAATTTAAAATGCAGGAAGGGTAAATAAATCTATAGATGACTTGTTTCATCAGTATAGATTGTTATGGATTTACTATCATCAATCCTGTTAAACACAAAGCCGAGCATGTTAGAACAACTTCATATATATCAACCTGAATGAGAATGATTACAACCTTATAACTTAAAACTGAGAAGGCATCTAATGAAATGTTAGACTTGAAATATTGAATATATAGTTTGAATTTTCATTATTGAGATTAATTGTTGTCCTCATTACCCTTATCCAAACTGTGTTGAGTCTGTTAATGGACTTTTTATTGTGTGAGGACATCGAATGGAGAGAATCGTCCGATTTTTTTTTTTGTCAATAGTAAATGCGCAGTCAAAGCACAACTGCTACAATAATTATGATTTGACTGTACTTTTACGACAGATGGAAAGAAAAATCAGACAATTTTTTTCATCCGGTATCCGGACATAATAATCTCTTCTGTTAATGAGATGAAATGCTCTTCAATTAAAAAAGTTATGTCATAAATGTAATTAGGCAAACATTTTATAAGTGTAATACTCATTCCATTGTCGTGCTCATTGAAAAGATTAAAACATCTTCATAGATGTACTGATAGTCTACCTAAAGCAATCGAAGTATTAGAAGTATCATAAGGTATAATGAAAATTTAGAGGAACTAATAGGTAACTGAAATGTACAATGAAAACATACCAGCTACGCTATCAGCCAAAATTGTTCCAAAATATCCAACAAGAACAACATCGTTGAAGAAGTTGATCGATGAACTCCTTTACATGTACACGAATCTCAAAGCATAATCGAAGTATTACTTTATATATGTATTAAATTCTATGGTAGGCTTCAAGTAATCTACTGGGCAATTGTTGCTCACTCCCGCTTTACATGTACATGAGTCTCAAAACATATATGAATTGACAAATTTCAAAATTAAATTTGAGGTCATCCAAACTCAACCTAACGGCACCAAAATTGGTCCAATCCAAGCCGAAATAGCTCCAAATTATGGGGCTGAAGCACATTTGATGGATGATCAAATGATATCCAAATATAACATGCTTATGGTCAAATCGAGTGGCTCAACGAGACGAATCTAACGAGCCTAAGGAACTTAAATGCATGAATAAATTCTATATGATTAGGAGAATTGATATGAGTCATATGTTTGAGCACTCTAAATTTGATCCAGATCTTCTCCATATTTACAGTGTGTGCCACTCACAAAAATCTATAAATAGGCTCATGCTCTCTTCATGAAGGAATACTTTGACTGGAGATTGGAGAGAGTTGTGAGACTTTAAGGAACCTAGAGTTCCACCCAATCACCATCTATGGCGAACTTCCTTCGACCGTTACTGAACCGGCATCGCTCGTTTGCATACCATAGCTAGACCATCGCTTGTCTGCCGACCTTAGTTGGACCACCACTTGTCCACGGACCATCGATAGACCATCGCCCATCTGCCAAACATCTTCAAACCTCTGTCTGGTCACCTACCACCACTGAGCCACCTTCGCTCATCAACTAAGGGCCCTCTGACCACGGTTGCCCGTCGACTATAATCCACTCTGACGATCGTCACCCCCAAACTACGGTCCCTCTGACCTCCTTTGTCTGCCAACTACGGCCCCTCTGACCACCATCTTCCACCGACTATGGTTCTTCAGACCATGCACCGCCGCCCATTGACTATGATCCCACCGACCAGCATAGGCTGCATAGCGCATCAACTGCTATCCCACCGACCTCCATTACCTGCTGACTACAATTCAGTGATTTTTTTTTCCTTTTTAGGATTTTTCACGTAAAAATCTTAGCGCCTCTCATGACTTTTACACCCCTCTTTCTTATGTGTCTTTGTGCTAGATCTTCATACAAAACTTGAACGCTAAACTCTATAGCTCTCTACCACCATGAATTTTTCAAGATGTAACAAAGCTCAACCATTAATGCTCTCTCCATTATTATTTATTTATAGTCTTCTATTGTTACCCCATATTTAAGTTAATATGTTCAGTTATACTTTCTTTATGTTCTTGTTTAGCTATTATGTTGTCCTTAGAATCAATAAATAGGTGTTATAGCCTGTAATAGTGGGTAAGCCAATAAGCAATAAAGATTGCTATTCTTAATAGCTCTCTTCTATTCTTTCCTCACTCTCTTTCAAGAAGCTCAAAAAGCTTCATCTTCCTCCAAGATCCTAACAGTAAGATTTCATGATCATCACTATATACATTATCTTTGTGGCCTTAACAAGGCCAAGACAACTTAAAATAGAATGCTATATAAATGGCACATGCCTCCTACTATGATTTCGTTTGGGACAGCTTTTTTACTGCTTTACAAAACAGCTATTTTTATAAAAAAAAATTTTTTTAGTTCAAAAAACTTTTATACTAAAAAGCTGTTTAAGAAATCAGCAAAAAAATTGTCCCAAACGAAGCCTATATCTGCTACCTCCTACCACTTCTTCCTTGCAACTCATATCTCAACTATTGCTCTCTAATAAACTCAAAATCCCAGACCGTTTGATGAACCTGCTTCCTAACATGCCTGCTACCTTCCACCAATGCTTCTTCTACTCAACTATTCCCTTATGCTTATTTTATATCTCTAGTAACAATATCTTAGCCTCTAGATATCATTTAAGATATGCTCAATGAATGAAAAGTACTCTTTTATTTATATATTATCCACATCACAACGACCCACAATGAGCGTTGATAGAGAATATCTCCTATTTCTTCTCTAATTGCCTCTTAGCCACAAGATCCCATTGTCCACTCTTTGATAGCCTTGCAACCACAAGACCCCCTTCTCCATCATTTTTTTAACTGAATGATTCCAACCCTCAACATCTTAACACCTAATAATTATCAATTATTCATATATTAATAAAAAAATTTATTTTTGATAATAAAAAACTGCTTTAAGAAACAGTAAGAAAGTCACACCAAATGAAGTATATATCTTTTGCTTATAATAATTATTAATTAGGTGCCTTAAAAGATAAATAATATTTCTGTTGCATCCAGGAGCATTCGCAGCGGTAAAGAAATATAAAGTTTTATGTCTTAGCATTGTACGAAAATCCGGCACGCAATCAGATAAGAGAGAGGGTGTGTAACATTTATAAGACACCAAAATTTTTACATAAAAGGAGAAAAAACCACGGGGCATGGCCCAGTTTGAATGAATCCACTAGTATTTG